CTGGCTGCAATGCGCATTATACTTTACAATATATTACACGTTGTACTTTTATTATTATAAATACCTTTCCCGTTGTTACTGCGGCGCGCATCAAAATTTTATTTATACAGCAGCACTATGAATTTCTCATTTAGCTTTCGGGTAATTTGAAGCACTGTTTAATTAACCATCGCGTGATACGTGTTGCCTTATTTCATTATTTATCTATGACATTATAACACTCAACAGATGTAAAAATGTGCTCGGGACAAAAATATTCTTCCAAGTAATTTTTATAGAAATCCTAATGAAATTTCAGTTACTTCCGTTCAATTTGAATGATTTTTAACAACAAAAGCTTTTGCATTTATACAAAATGCAATTTAATAATCTAATTAAGTCGTTTAAACTGAGATTAATCGATGATGCGTTAATTAGTTATTGTTCCAGTTGGAAATCAACGCGTTATTGTAATAAAATATTATAATACAATTTTCGAACTCGGTCAGTAATTATCCCCTCGTGTCTACAAGTGCTATTATTATCGGGTAATTATTATATAGTAAAATAGTATGATTACGGTCAATGATATGGTATGCGAATTTAACGGCGTGTTACTTACGTGAGGCTACATTAGTTAATTAAAATCTAATGCAATTACAACAGGTATACAACCTTGTACGCCTGTTAAGGGAAACGGCTTTGTCAGCAGTGATGTTACCAGGAACGTTACACGACGGTACAGAGTCATACCACAACATAGACAAGTCTCGTAAACGGGGCCTTATCGCACAGGGTGATCTCCGATCTGTTGCGTTGTCCTAAAGCCGAGAGCTTTCCGATCCCTTTAAACTTTCCTGTTTAACGCTTGAGAGGATTGCACGTCAGGCTAACCCGTGATTTTTCTCTCAAAGTTTCTGCTCGTCAGTCAAGATTGATGATGTATATAAAAATAGCAAACGTATCAAATTTGCATTGCTAAAAATAGTACATTTTTTTCCCGTTTCTATCATGGATAAAATAGATTGGGTGATTCAGCAAAGCCCTTACTGGGCAAATTCAATGTTTATAACTAAAAAGATTTGATGGTTCGACAAAGAAATTACGTCTGTAAGTAATTATCAGTATGCTAATTCAGTTAATTCTTCTAACGAAACGAAAATTGCTAATACAACAAATTTTCTTCATTACATTTTTCGTCATATTTTTTTTCCTGTGTTCCATTACACGAATATTAAAAGCATTGAAAACCGCCGTACCAAAAGGAAAGGTGATTATTTCGATCAATAGATTAAGAGATCCAAGAAAGTACAATTGTATACATCTGTTTACACGAATTTACATCCATCCATTAATTTTATTAAATTTTCATGTGACGTGTCTGGAAAGTTAAGCTCGTTTGTATCAATTTCAATATTGGCTTTAAGAATGTAACATCACGTTAATTACCTTTTCAACCTGGTGTGTTCTCAAGATTATTACATGCCATCATTGTTACGATCGTTGTTATGACGGTCGTATCCTTTTCCCCCGCAGGACACTATAGGCTCTCACGTTTTTCCACCCCGATACTAGTCGTCCTCGTACCCTCGTCGCTTCCACTTAACTAAAAAGCCTTTTAACGAGGCCGACTCCGCGAAAAATGTGCCGTGAGGATGCCACGCAACCGATCGATATCTCGTCACGAGGGCTCAGGATCGAAGCTCTGCTTTTCCCCGGGAATGAGAATTTCTCGACGCCTTACGAAGTACAGAAAATACACGCGTCTCTCCTGATACGGGAACGAGGCTTTTCCGATAATTATTCATCGAGCTGTGGCCGGCAAACGTAGACGGCACCATAAGGAAAAAAGATGATGTTATAACGGGGAGAAAAAGACGGATGTTATAATAGTATTTGTATAAAAATGAGGAAAAGTTTTTCGTTTCGCGGAAACCTTTTGTTTTTCGGTACGTGAAAAACAGGTTTGTGTAAAACAGGCTTTTTTGTAGCAGTTTTTGTAGTTTCGCGAAGAGAGGGTTGTTAAAGTGAAAAACACTGGCCAAGAGCTGGAGGAAAATCATCGAACGCCCGACTGTGGGTGCAGCCCTAAATGTCTCGCTGATGTTTTAGGTGGCGGCCGGCCACATTGCCCGACACGTGAACGACCGCTTTCAGCCGTTTTATTGATCATAAGCGGAATTGCACGTCCCTCGGGCCTATTTTTGTACTCTCTGGGGAGAAAGAACGTAAACGATCGCAGAGAGAAAAAATAATATGCTGCAAGCGACAGATTTGGAGAAGTTCAAATAATTGGAGAGAAAATTTTCTCAGTGTTGCTTTTACTTAGAAAAACCTCGCCTCGGACTATTAATTAATTTTATTTAAACAGTTGCGTTATATGTAGTTTAATTAATTAATCTCTATACAACAATATAAGTTAAATTAAAATTTAACCAAGTTTTATTCTTCTATATTTTTTATACATACATCTATACCTCTTTTTTATTTTACTTACATAATCTAAACTTTTGTTTTCCATTACTTTCTTGAACAAAAATAAAATTTTTTTTCTCTTTCTCTATATCCTCTTAATTATTCTGTATACAGCAAAGCAAAAGAATGTATACAAGACATGTATCATCCAATGCATAAATCTGATGATCTCTACTTTATGTAAGTGAACTTGATAAAGATAATAAATGTGCACGCGTTTTTACCGTTCTGACTCCGATTACAAAACCAATAATGTCGTTTCTGTGCTTGTCTTTTTTTTCCTCTATCGTGTCTCTAATAATTATACAACGTTACTTCGAGAAATCGCGTTTTCCTTGGAGATAGTCGTCTTATTGGTCCTCGGAAATCTTGCAACGTGTTCGTCCTCTCGTTATGTTATAATCAATTTGTCTTACGTCATTTCTTTTGATGTTTTTGCTATCACTGTAAACTTATCGGGCCGTTTTGCTACGTCATGAGCAAGCTTTTGTTATCATGATATCTCATTATCCGAGACGAGAAATTAATATCTGATGCCGTCATTATACGCTCTCGTTACAATGAGATTGTTGTTGCAATGTGAAGTCGACATTCCGGCGCGTCTCTCTGTGACTCAAATAAAATGCGGAACAACCTCAAAATCATATTGCTATATATGTGTGTGTGTGTGTGTGTGTGTGTGTGGGGGGGGGGGGAGGGGGAGGTAATAATTCTCGTTGCCTTTTCATAGAAAATAATTCAATTTATTTTAATTTT